ACGCACAATGACGTTTCCGGCGAACTTGTGTCCGCCCATGTGTGAGTTGCGGATTATGAGGACGCGCTTCTGCTCTGCGACATCCTTCAGCCGCTTTTCGACCTCCGCACGTAACTTCTCGTCTGAGCCGGTGAAATCTTCAAGGGGAGATCCGGAGAGCGAAGGGTCCTCGACCTGTGTGTGGACCTCCCAGCCCTCGCGTTCGAGCGCGGCTGTGAATGTCTGCTCGAGCTTGGGCGCCGCGATGGCGCAGCGGTTGTCCCTCCGCTTGTGTGAGCCTGCGAGGTACGTCGTCAGCCTTCTGCTAGGTTAATCGGACAAAATGAACTGACATAACATGATGACGGAAGAGTAAGGAAGCACATAGGTCTTCAGCGCACCGCTTCCCTTTGCATCGGCCTTCAGCGAGTGCAGGAGCTTCTTCGCGCCCTCCTCCGAGCGTTCCACACCTGTAACGACCTTGTACTGCGGGAACACCAGGACCGTCTCGCGTGTAGCGTCGTCGCAGACGGTCTTATGGCTCCCGTTGAGGATGGTAACCTTCGAGCTCTCGGTGGATTTGTACACCCCCGGAAGACCGCCCGCGCCGTTCGATGCAGCGTCTTTGCCGCCCTTGCCGTTCGCTGCAGCGTCCTTGCCGCCCTTGCCGTTCGCGTCTTTGCCTCCCTTGTCCTTGGGTGGTTTGAACTCGCCCCGGGCGGAGTCGATGTATGCGGCGAGCGTGCCCGACGCATCCGTCACCTCCCTCTCCCAGTCTGACTTCCCGGTAGATATGACAACCTGCGCAGAGCATGTGTCAACTGACGGGACACACCGGCATGAGGCTCCGAGACATACCTGCGTACCGTACGGCTTCATGGAACCGAGCATTTCTGTTTCCATGTCCACATCGAACCTTGATGGATATTCATCGTGTCCTGCGCCGGTCAGGAGAGTCCCCCGCGCGGCTGCGTTACGCACCTTCATCGCAGGGGTTTGCGCACCCCCGGCAGTCCGCGTCAGACACAGGGACGTCGGCGGCCTTGAGTTCGGAGCCATGGTCTGCGCCGACGCCGCCGACGATGTACGCCTTGAGCTTGCGGAGGGTGCTCATCTTCAGGATGTGGCTCGGGAACTGAGGGGACGAGGGGACGATACGGGAGCTTAGTGAGTTGTTGCATCTAATAAATAGAGAGACATTTGTCAGGGCGAGGATGGCGGTAAGCTGCCGCAGCCAGTGAGGCGATCGAACATTACGACCACACACGGCACGGCAGTCACGGCACATCCGTTTATCAGATAAGATTCGACCGCACCGGCCCCGAACATCGTACATACGAGACGCTCGAGTACTGCGCAGCGCCAGGCTGCCAGCTCGTGCATATTGCTCTCGAGGTTGTTCTTCAACGAGCGAACTTTGGTCTGAAGCGTATCATCACTTGATGTTGGATCGTAAGGGTACAACGACTGAGCTACAGGGCGAGCAATATACAAACGCCAGTGTTGTAAGATAAATTATATGATGCTAACAGATGCAAGTCGAAGAATAGCCAACCAATAAATCATCACCATGACTGCCATACTATCTGCGCGAGTCAGCGCGAGGTCAGCAAGATGTGCAATCGTACAACAATTGAATCCGTCCGAGTCAGTAATCACCGCCCATAGTCATCCGGGACGAACGGCGTAACGAGGTCATACATCTCGGCGTTCCTGCTCCTCTGCGGCTTGCTCCCAAGGCCGACGAAGTTCTTGAACTTCTGGCGCATCCCCGGCTTTTCATCCGCCTCCATCTCGCTCCGGTCCTCGGGGTACAGCGTGTCGACGATCTTCGAGAGCCGACGCAGCCCCGGATATCCCTCGGGCGGCCCGTTGCGCGACAGCTCGAGCGCCGAGGCGAGGTACATCGCGAGGTCCGGGAACGTCGTCGGGAGTGTGGGGTAGAGGTTCCCCGGCACGCTCGGGATGGTGTAGAATTTGGAGATGGGCGCATCTGCGCCGTCGCGCAGCACGGCGGGCGGGGAACATATTGTGTACGACCAAGGAAGCACGCTCGAGTCGCCGTTCCGGAAGCGCACCGCGTTGGGTGTGTTCACAGGTACGGGCACGTCGATGGACATGTACACTGCGGTGAGCCATGCCGACGACGTGCTGTGCACCTATCCCGGACGCGTTTGAGTACTCGTTCCGCGTCACCGGGGTCCGGGTAATAGGGATGGACTCACCTTGACAAATGATATGACGATCCGCAGTCTCGCTTCTCCCTTCAGCTTCTTGAGCACTTCGATAGACGGCTCGACGCGCGTCGCCGGCAAGCGTGCCATGAACTTAAGCAAGCTGCGCCAATTGGGAGCTTGGATATAGAACGGTGGCTTGTCCGCATTCGGAAGGGAAATGAGGGTGGGGATTGAACCCTTAAACGGGGCTGCAGTTAAGACGATGGGCGCTGTACCAAATCCCATAGCTGTAATGAACATATGTGAGCTATCGCATCGATAGAAATGATAGAGGAAGAGGCATACAGATCCCGGTGAGCAGCTCCTGTGGTATCAGCTGCTGGTGAGCACTCGACATACAACTCAAATCCGACTCTCCCGCGGACACCGCCGACAGAGGCGCAGACTTATCGTCAACCCACTCAGCCTTCTCAGAGTACGGATAGCTCGGGGGCGCATCTAATCGGTCTTGATGAGGAGAAGGAGACTCGACCACAGGCGTGTCCATTACAGGTGTCAGCTCAGGCTCGCCCGCCTTCGCTGCCTCTCTTATTGGGTGTTCCACCGCCACGGAGAGGCGTCGGCCAGTGTGCGGCGACTGCCCGAGGTCGGACTTCGAGCGCGCCGTGCGTTGCGACGCGTGAGGTTGACTGCCAGGAGATGCGTGTGAGATATGGCCAGTGAATGATGCGGAATGGGGCAATGGCTTGTCTTTGTTCATGCTTTCGCAGCGTCGACGAACGTCCTTCGATAGCACGGTCTCTATCGAGGTCGAACGCATACGGAGCGCCTGTGCTGTGTCGACGGTGCTTCCTGGGGTTCCCGGTTTAGAGGATGCGAGAGGAGTGGCGGCGGCAGAGCTTCCCCGCGAAAGGTGTCCAGGGAAGAACGCTTGATGCGGGACTACTGAGGGAGGGCGCGGTGATGGGTGAGAGGAATTCTCTCTCGACGAGGACGCGGCTGAGCTACTGTCCGTACTATGTCCGCTGGAGGACGGCGCAACATACGACGGTGCTCGCGGCGGCGAAGAGGCCGACCGTCCGACTTCATGGAGAGACTGTTTCAACGCCTGCGCGAGTGCCGCGTCCTCATCGTACTGAGAGGGTGTCCGCGACTCCTGAAGCGATGCTTGGACGGCTCGCCTGAGATCCTCGTCATTCACAGAAGACCTCGGATGCACATCCGGCTTGGGCGAGCTGAATGTCGGATGTGGCGTGACATGAGGCGCGGGATCGGCGTAAGGGTGCCTGGAGGTTGTGGGAAGTGAGTGTTGGGCGCGGAGTTGTGCAGCATGAGTGGGTGGCCCTGGAACATGTCCAGGGTGCACATGTGGGTGGGGAGCAGTATGGCGAGGGGCAGGAGCTGGATATGAATGGGCAGGCTTCGGAGGAACGGGTGGCTGGCTCGAATGTGGCCTTTGAGGGAGGGGAGGCGGAGACGACTGGGCATGTCGCAGCTGAGGGGTTCTCTGGGGCTGTGGAAACTGTACTGTGGGTTGGTGCGAGAAATAGTCACCAGTTGAAGAACTCAGACTTCGACCATGGGATGCACCCATGTCCACCATACTCCTGGGCGACCGGACGGACGGCCCCGGCGCCGACCTCGCGACATGGTGTGGACTCGGTGCGTAGTACGTGTACGGCCTGGTCAAGGCAGGCATGGGTTGGGTTCGCGATGTTATCTGGTATGCGGGCCTTGCTGCCTGCACCTGCTGCGGATCCGGTGTCCGCTGGATTCTATCGTAAGGATTGGGCAGGTCTTGATGAATACTAGCGGTATCAGACTCCCAAATGGCTTCAGGAAAGGTCCGGCGTAAGTACAAAGCCTGTAGCATCGCGGGAACATGGAACATACCATGAAGCGGACCATGCCCTGTGCTGGGCATCGGGAACTGCACGGAGGCGCTAGCAGACGCCATGGCATACGGGTGGCCTGGCATGGTGGGAGTTTGGGATTACTCTCACCGTCGCGCTGTAAGGACTATGCAGAGAGAACGAATAAAGCGGTTCCGCGTCTACCAGGGCCGCACAGGTCGTGTCACGGTTCACGTTGAGGACCACACTACGTACAAATGGGCCGTTGTGGGCCGTCCCGTTACGATATGGACGGCGCTCAGGCCTCGCAGGGTTGACAGAAGGCTAAGAACTATGCTGGGAAGATCAGACTGGGCGAGCCGCTCATGTCGAGAGGCAGGACGTTGCGAGAGAGCATAACGGCGACACGACCAGACGTCAGCAAGCTGCAGGCGGTGTTCGTTTACCAGCCAGGGCGCGTCCGGCGCTCCATCTAGGGGCGATCACTTACGACCGAGGCAGTGCGCCTAGACTCGATCCCAGTCCTTAGGGTCGCTTGCCTCCTTTTAGCCACCCCTCTATATGGTAACTTTTCAATCCGAGAATGGTAACCGGAGTGTGAAAAGGAGACAAGCGTCCCTAAGGACTGGGCGAACTGGCCCCCCTTTACCTTGGTCGCCCCGTGGGAAACGGGACTTAGTGAAATCGCACAATGCCTCCTCAAGGGAATTGTGGACAGCCGGCCTCTCGCATTGTGCCAGTCCATAAAGCAATTGTTGTAGGTAGGGAATCAAAGACACAGATGCATTGAAGATTGATTACAGCACAACCAAGTAGATAGAATGGATAAAGACAACCGGAAAAGCACTATCCAGCCCCTTGTGCTCTCCATAGGCGAACGGACAGACATGGGAGCAGGCAGCGCCAACGTACAGGGTTGCGGGCGGACAGCATGTGAGGATTCCTGCATGTCCTGCATGATGACGTCTCCACCCTTCTTCGAGAACGCGCGTCACCATCGATCTGCCGACAAGGAGGATATTTGTCGTGCACATACCATGCCGTGGACGAAGGGGATGGCGAGAAATATACCATAGGTCGGGCCTGTACCGAGGACAAAGACACTGTCGGAGGCGACCACGGGCGCGCTCGTAATCATCTACGTGCTCGATGTTAGCACTGGGAGACAACTGGTGCATTGCACATACCAGATGAAGTCGATGGAACAGACGAGTGTCACCTGGCCAGCGATGTTCGCCCAGCCGGTGATCCAGCTCGCGAGTGCGGAGTACTTTGGGGGTGCGAGCTTCGCAGAGAAGTAGTATAGTCCGGCGCTCGTCCTAGGAGCATGACAGGGTCAATTGAGTGTGGGCGGCTTCGAGACGCGATCGGAGGGGACGTACGGCGTGGAGGATGCGAGCTCGGCCATGGAGACGGCGACGGCCATGACGATGAGGGAGGGGATGAGCCACCCAAAGACCATCCCTACGTGTCCGCCTACATCTCCGCCCATTAGACGTCGCACGGACTTGACACCACTGGCATGCACCGGACTCGAGAGGGAAGGAGAACGTGGAGGAGACGGACACGATGACACCCATGACATGATAAAGAAGGTGAACGCAATCGTCTCAATCAACTGTGCACGGGTCCTTCTCAGCATAACATCCACAAAGCACAGTTGAAAAGAATTGGCTCACCGAGAACTCGTGCTTGAACTCGGACTTGTAGCCGAGCTTAGCGAGGAGCTCGTCGTCGGCACGGCGGAGCTCGTTGAGGCCGGGGTGGTGGTGGTCAGTGTGAGAGTCAACCGGGACCGCCATGGAGGTCGCGGCGGACCTCTTCTCACTTATTGTGGGCTTGGTCGACTCCAGGGTAGGCGGGACATTGGCAGGCCGTGAACGCAGAAACAGGCTGGAGGTAGCAGACTATCGAACACGAGGTCAGCTCTGTGGTTCAGTGAATAAACATACCTGGGTTGCTTAAACGGGCGTGTGTCGTGCCATGACAGAAAGACCATGGGTATCGCAGGCAGAGGACGACTAAGAGAAATCGCGCACAACGCGATTTCTCTAAGTCCCGTTTCCCACGGGTCGACCAAGGTAAAGGGGGGCCAGTTCGCCCAGCCGTTCTGGCGAACGAGAGGAGTGCCACGACGGAGTTTGAAACGTTTGCCAGAAAAGGATGGGTACGAGCCTACAGTGCGCCCAACAGTAGGACCCGCCGGCCATGATACCGCTACCGCTTATGGACGCGACGGTGGGCGCGAGCATCGCATCCACGAAGACTCAATGAACCTCCATTTGAGCATCAGTCTGGTCTTTCACGATCTGACCGAAGACGTGAAGCTAGGCCATGCCCGATATTTAATATCACAAGTACCTCTAGCTAGCTTAATACAATGCAGGGAAGAGGAAAATGCGGAGAGATGGTTGCTGCAGAGCGATGCGGATAGGATGATGCATGATGATAATGAGAGTAGCAGAACGAGAAATATTGCCGGAGACATGCATGAACACGGAAATCCGAAAAGCAGCGTGAGAGGAGAGACGCAGACGGAAAAGAACGAATAATGAGATCGTGACGGTCGTTAAAATAGTGCTCATCGTGCGGGGGTCAGTTTTGCCGCCTGCCCACGACCTTGCCCCTGCACAGTCGACGTTTTGAATCCTAGCTGTCGCATCGTGGCCAACAGGTCTGTCTTCTGCACCGGCTTCGAGAGGTACGCCGCGAAGAGATTGAGGCTGGGGTCCACCACATCGGATGCGGTCGCGCTATACGCACTCACAGCAATGATAGGTATCTCCGCATTCTTGTTGCCGCTGTTTTTGATGTATCGGGCGGCTCCTTCACCGTCCACTATACACAGACCAATTAGCGATATTACAAGGTAACAATAAGGCGTCACTCACGTATTGGCATATGAAGGTCCATCAAGATACAGTCAAACTCTGTTTGAGAACACGTCCATGAGTACCGAGTCGCGTCAGACAGGGATTCCGACGCTCACTTATGTCACCCATGGCAACACTGATAGCTTCCGACCCATCCGCCACGACAACACAGCGGCACCCGAGACGTATGAGCAGTGTCTCGATGATCTTCGCCGTGATGGGGTTGTCTTCCGCCAGGAGGCATGTCACAGCCCGATCTGACGGATCAGGCGCCCTCTTTAGGTCAACCGAGGCGACTGACGACGGTGGCGTGTTCAGCTCGTAGTGATTAGGCCCGGTCGCCGGTGGCAGCCCCCAAGAGTCAGACGTAACGCTCTCGCCGTTCGTGGACACTGACGCAGTCCGGAGGCGGCTGGGCATGGAGTTACGGCGGACATTGTCGCCTTCCAGGTGGTTGAGCTTGAACCGCTCAACAGTGCTATAATCCGACGGTTTCCGGACGTGGCCACTAGCACTTCCAGGTGTAGGCGGACCTCGCGACATCGAGGAGGCAATAGACGAAGTCGAGGTCGCGGGCGAAGGCGGGTTAGTAGGCGAAGGCTTGCTGGGCCCGTCCGTCGCAATAGTGACGCTAGTCGGCTTCTTGATGTTGACCTTGGCCGATACACTCTTGCGGCGCGTGTGGAGATTCGCCGGTTCTGACAACGTCTGCGACAAAGGCGCCATCTGGTCGGTTTTCATTTTCCGAATCATGTCGTCGTTGGCTTGTTTCAGGACGGGAAGGTTCTTGAAGCTGAAGGAACCGAAATCGTCGTCGGAGGGCGACATTGCGGTTGTGTCGGCAAGGGCGGGGGGCGCAGAAGCGGAAGCAGGGTCAAGGTCAGCAGATGGCGCGGGACTATCGGAGCCAAGAGTGGTGGTCATTGTAGGGTGGTCGGGCTCGCTGAACGGCTGCAGCACTGCTCCACGAGGATCGAAGTAGTCAGTAGACTCAGGATCTGTGACTTGCGGGATGAATGCCGCCTCGGTAGCCGTGACCTTGTCCCAATCGATCCCAGCGAAAAACGGGTGATCCTTGACCTCGTCGGCACCATTGGCCCCCAGACGCCGAGAGGGATCCTGTGTCATCAACCGCTGCATGAAGTCCTTCGCCTCGGGCGAGATGTCCATGTATCCCTCGTGCCATTGTACGCGGCCCGACAGGATGTTCTCGAACACCTTCTCAGGCGTTTCGTCATGGAACGGAGGAATCCCATAGAGAAATTCATAGGTGATGACACCCAGAGCCCACTAGAAGCAATTCATTAGCCTCATGACGGTCTCGATGGGACAGAATCTACTCACCCAATCCACGGCAGCGTCATCGCCGCGCAGACCTAGAATGGTCTCGGGGGCGAGATAGTCCGGTGTGCCCACCACCTTCTGGTCACCGGGCGGCGTACCGCCAGGGTTAGGATGAGAGCGAAGATCGGTAGTCAATTCAGTTGCGAATGACTGTAAGGGACTATCCATGTGTGGCTGCTGCTTGCTGTTCGACCGCCGCATGGCGAAGAGTCCAGAGCCCTGGAGAGACTCAGAGCCGCTAGACTCACTAACGTCATCTGAAAGCGACAAATAAGGCGACGATCCTAGCCGAGGAATCGAGCTGGTCCTCTGCGTAAAATACGAACCTCCCGCGTATAGGTCGGACGTGAACGGTGTCGACCCGATGTAGACAGAGTCGATTGAGGGTGGCCGTGACCCAGGGCTATGTCTTGACCGCGTGCGCATCCCGAAGGGAAGTTGAGCGTCTCGTGTTTGGCGACCTAGGAGACCAATCCTGCTCAGCCCGAAGTCAGTGAGCTTGAGGTGACCGTGCTGGTCGATGAGCAAATTATCCGGTTTTAGGTCACTGTGGCAGCAGGAAGTATTAGCCAAGCAGATCATAGCAAAAGATATACACGACGTACCGATGTACAATACCGCGCTGATGCAGATACTCCAATCCAAGAACGACCTCTGCGATGTAGTTGCGCGTCCATTCCTCGGGCAGAGACCCGAGAGACTTGATCAGCGCAGCGCAGTCGCCACCGTTGAGGTACTCCATAACTAGATACAGATTCTCCTTGCTCTGGAAAGTGAAATAGAGCTTGGCGACGAATGGCGACTCAGCCTGCTTCATAAGGATCATCCGCTCTGCCTTGACGTTCGTGATCTGATTCTTCGCGATCATGTCCGCCTTCTTGAGCACCTTGATCGCGAAGTAGTCGCCAGTGGCTTTCTTCTTCGCGAGGAAGACGGAGCCGAAGGCGCCTTTGCTGATAGGCTTGATGATCTCGAAGTCTTTGATTGACGTAGGTGTCGTCCTGGACAGCGGCGCGACAGAAGGAAGGCGAGGCGATAATGGAGTGCCCGACACCGAGTTGGTCGGGCTGAGAATGGGTTGCGCTGCAGTTGAGTGCCGTCGCCTGCGCGGTCGTCGCGTCTGCGACTGGTCTTCGGGTGAGACCAAAGGCGACAGAGGGGGAGTGATGAGCAAGCGAGGCTCGAGGATGCCTAGCGACGGCCGCGGCCGAACTGTGGTCTGATTGACCTCGTTGAGATCCATGGGCGGTGGTGTGAGGTCGTGAGCAGGATATGTTGCGAACGACACTATGGGGGCCGCTAATGCTAGAGGAGACGAGATAGAAGACGGCGTAGATGATCGTGTTTGCAAGTTGCTCGGAGGATACGCAGGAATAGGCGCGACAGGAAGGAGAGGTGAGCTGAAGTTAGAAGCTAGAGTGTGGTCGATAGTTTGGCCCGAATGACCGCCGGAGAACGGAATCGGCGAGGTCGACGCGATAGGAGTGGGCTCCGCCGTCTGACTGCCGAAGGCGTAGTCAATAGTGTTACTGGTACGGTCCTCCGCTTGCTCGCCCTGTTGTTCGTCCTCTGAGCCTTCTGCGGTCTGTTCGCCGTCCTCGTCCTCATCCTCGTCCTCCTCAGCAACATCCTCCATCTGCGAAAGGGTCTGAGCGACCTTGTCCGCCCACTCCTGGCGGATCTTCTCGAGTACTTGATCGTATTCTGCATACGCACGACGTTGTCAACTTTCTGTCGCATAACACGCTCAGCGTCCTCGATCAGCTGCGTGAGCGCCCCGTCCTCGATGGAGGGTTTGCCCCATCGTCGGACTTGCGACATCTTCCGCTCTGAGGCAGGCGACAAGAGGCGTTGCCTCTCGATGGGCTCGGCCGATTCCTCATCCTTCAACGCAGGGATAGAGATTTCGCTACAGAGTTGCAGGATGTCCTCGAGTTGCTCAAGGATGTGACGCTGCAGCTTCTTCACGCTCAGTTTCTTCATCTTCAACGGCGCACGGAGGAGTTGAAGCGGGCGAAGACGATCCAGGTGAGGTAGCCGGGGAGAAGATGGGCATGCCACGGTATTCGGGAGCCGTCATGGGCGACGAACGGTCAATTGCCGTCAACAAGTCGCGAATCGTGTTGCGAGCTCGCCGATCGACTCGTTGCACTCGCTGATTTCAGCTTCGAGCCGGTGCGTCTCCGCACACGTCTCATTATGCTTCTCGAAGTACCACTGCGGTACCTCGCATTCGCAAATGCGGCAGAGGATCGGCGCAATGTTGATCGGCCGCGCGAACGGGAAGGGGGTAACAGGCTCGTACGCCTGTCTATGTCCGAAGCCTACCTGTGTCGCCTCAGCGGAAGCTGGCTCGTCACCAACCTCGCCAGACTCGAGCAAGATGGAAGGAGGCTGCTCCAGGCATTCCGGCTGACCGATGGGCCTGACGACCCACATTGTATGCGTCGGTGTACCCTCCTCACGTTCCATCATGAGCATACCCGTTCCGACCATCTGCTGGTACAGGTTCTTGTACGACGACTGACCGGGTTCAGCGTCAATGACCTTCAGTCTGAATCGCACCTCCACGATGCGTGAATCGTCGTCGAGCAGCCGCCGAGTCGCATCGCGGAAGACGTGCCAGTCAGCCGGAGCAAGTAACCGCGATATCCGCGTTCCTATGAGGTCCTCCTGGTCCGTTCTGAAGCGAATGATGATCAGCGCGTTATCATTCCGCCTATGAAGTCATGCACGTACCCGATAACGTTCCGCCATGCATAGTTGACCCATATGAAGTGGTCGCCATCCATGCTCAGCTCCAGTACGATATTCTGGTTCTGGGCATGTTCTGCTTGGAGACGTAACCGCTCGGTGGCTAGGACCCTCGCGGATTCGTTGTTGTCAGTAAATTTTGACGTCGACCTGGGCTGGTCGTTCTCCTTCGCGGGCGTCATAGACAAGTCCTTCGGTGTTTCATCCCTGGTCCGACGAGTCTGGCTGACGGTC